AAGTAATACTTTACGTTTAATAAGTTAATATATTTTTCCAAATAATACTGAAATAGTGAATACTTTTTAATTTTTACCATTCATTTTACCTTATTAGCTTTGATGCGAAGCTGAGAAGGTATTGGTTTTACTATGATGTGTTTATTTATTTATTTTTTTTTGTGTCTGTTACCACTTTTTCTCGGCTCTCACCGAACGGATTTCTTTCAACGATATGTCAAAAGATCACAAATCGTATCTAGTTGAAGAAATTACCCTTAAAAATTGAAAAAAATTCCCCCGTTCACCGTAAATGGGGGAAACCTTCAAAAAAATTACAAATTTAAAAATCGCTATTTTTCGAAATTTTTTCAATTTTTTTTCCTAAAATGTGCCGTAACTTTTTCAAAAATTAACATATCAATATAATTTTTTTTATTTATAGATTTTTGATATCTTTAACTATCATTTGATATATTTTTTTTGTAAATTTGACACTTTATCTGCCCACAGGGGGGGATTTAAAATGACAACTTTTTCACAAAAAATTAACTTTTTCAACTTAACTTTTGAAAATGTTCCGGTAGGTCTGACACTTATATATATATCTTAAATTAAAGCTAATGTAATATACTTTAATTTGAAAAAAAAAATTTGACCTCTGGACTTGTCTTCATGGTGAAAACGGCTACCGAATGCTATTTTTGTGTGAAAATTTTCGATTTTATAATTTACATTTTTTTACTTTAAAGTGCTATAACTTATTGAAAAGTATATGGATCAACACAATTTTTTAATGAGAAATAATATTTTTTAATAATCCCTTTTTCATTCGACATACTAGCAGATCATGTAGCTTTTGGAATAATACACCAATTTTTTTAAATTTAAACATAATCTAAAGATTTGCATCAAAGCGTTTATTTTTGATAGTGATTTTAATCACTGTCAGATATCATTATACTTGATCCAACTAAACCATGGCATCACTGTGCCGCGACCCCCCTGTGCTGGGTTTTTTTTTTGTTACTTTTAGTTAAATATTTATTTTTGAATTATTAGTTAATTATGTAAGATTTTTTAAGCTTATGCCTTAATCCTTAAAAGGGTTTCAACTATGTTTTTTTTCAAATGATAACACATATTTTGCATTTATTAAAATATTTGAGGTTATTTTTTTAAATAATAAATTGCATTTTAATTTATAATATATTAAGTTCATTTGTTTACTAAACACAAAACTGTAAAATTTTGAATTTTTGAGCTAAAATAAATGTATTATAATATACGAGGGATTATACTAATCCGTAGCTAATGAAAATACGGATTTTTCATTTTTATGACTTGTACATGTTGAGTACTTGAGTTATATAATAGTAAAATCTTTTATAATTATATTAACTAACAACTTAAAACTAAGTAACAAATTTCATAAGCAAAATTATATAGATACTCAATTTACAGTATACTTATAATATAATTTTAGCATAGCTAAATCTATTTTTAAAACATAATAGTTTGAGTTTTGGCGCATTTTATTTTACATTTTATTCTAATATGCGTGAGCCCCCATTTCATAGGAGTCCCGAAAAGGATTGAATCAGTCACCGGAAATGGAAGGCATATATGACCCCAAAATTTTGTTCAAACTAATAATATTTGTTTGCAAATTGCATATTATTAAGAAAAATATCGAAAAATTGATCTTGAAGACAAAAATGAAGAAGTATAGGTTTCCCAATTTACAATCTTATTTATATATACTCTCAAAAAAGCACTTTTGCTTTATAAACCGTTAACAAAAACTACATTCGCAAGGTTATTAATGGAGTGCTCGAAGTCTAATAACAGAGTTATATGCTAACTCAAAAGTACTATGACTTTCTAACTATACTTGAATAACATTTTATTTTTGCATATTCGTAATCAGTGAAAATAAAACAAATCGATTAAAAAAAAAAAATTAAAAAAATTGTGTAGTAGCTAAACTGAATTTGTTCCGAAACTATCTACTGTGATTTAAAATTTTTTAAAATAACTAATAAATCTAAACAAAACTATTAACGCTTTTACAAAAAATTACAATCCCACTAATAGTTAACTTAAACAAAATATACATTTCTGGCAATCCACGCAGACAATCTAAACGAAATTAAAGCAGATATATTCCTTAATTAATAAAAGAATCCTACAGTATTTTTTTTTTTATAACTAGAAGCTATGTCTTTGGTTAACTATGATTTTCATACCAATCATAATCTTGACATTTTTATTGTTTTAATTTGTAACAGATTGTATAATATAAATAAAAAAATAAAACAAATACTGTGCATTTGAACGCGAATCTAGAAAACAATCTTTATCAAAGATTTTGTCTCTTTTTATTAGTTATAATTTTTTATTTTTAGAGAAAGTCTTGTATTAATGACATTACTAGGTAATAATTACTAGGCACTAGAAATTACTAGGTAATTTTATTGTATTTATTGAAACAAATATTTTTTTTTATGAATATTTACTTTATTTTATATGTTTCAGTACTCCCGGTGGTAATTCAAACAGTGCGTGCGAATTAACATGTACGTTGATCATGTCATTGGCCAGGTAATTCCATTATTTTTGTATAAACTCTATAATTTTAAGTTTCAATAGTCAAAGTATAAAAAAATCTATAAAAAATCATCGAGTAAAGCAAATCAATTTGATACTTATAAATGTTATCTGAATTCAATACTTAAAATATTGCGAAATCAGTTTAAAAATAACATTTTATAAGTATATCAACCATTTAATTAAAAAAAATTAAATGTACTTTGATGTTAAAGTACCCACACGAATTTTTGTTGTAAGTTTAAAAAAAAGTATTTTAATTNGTTAAAGTACCCACACGAATTTTTGTTGTAAGTTTAAAAAAAAGTATTTTAATTAATTTTGGAAGTGTATATAGGATTTTTTTATTGTTATATGTTTCTTTATATAATCATTGAATTTCTTTATTGACTCCGATTAAAGAAGCAAAGGTTAGTGACTTCTATTTCTATTGCCAAAAAGTTAATATTTTGCACGAAATATGTGAGAGTGTATGTGTATTATAGCTTATTAATAATGATATACATAATAAATGAATCATAAACTAAAACAAATTATTAATTAATATTGAGGCATTCGAAGTCAGAAACAAATCTTAAATCTTACCCAACTCAAATTAATATTTAGTTGTTATTTTACTATATATAATTCGTAAAAGAATTTTTTGATTTGAACACCAAAGTTTAATTAGGGAAAAAATTTTTTTAGTTGCCTAATAAAGTAAAAGGCGTTGATAGGTGTAAAGTAAAAGATCTCGGTGGTACATATAAAAACTTAAAGGGTTATTGACCTAGACAAATTAAAAAAAAATTGTTTTAACTTAGTAATTATTCAAGCTTTAACAACTCATAAGTTTAAGTATTAATTTTAATATACCTTTCTCTGAGTACACTACTGATTTCAAGTAAAAATGTTAAAATATCTTAATAATTTTTTACTATGAAACATTTTTTGAATGAAAAATAATTTTTATAATTGTCTTGATTATTTAAGGCATGTTCCTCAAGGCTGTCAGTCTTTAAAAGAAGGTAGATGGGACAGAAAGTTATACATGGGAACTGAACTTAAAAACAAAATTCTAGCAATTTTAGGATTAGGAAGAATTGGTCGCGAAGTAGCTTATAGGATGCAGGCTTTTGGAATGAAGGTAAATTCATTTTTAACAAACTAATATTTATTTAATTTTTACAATTTTAATCGATATGCATTAGTTATTTAAGTATTTATAACATATTAAAACTCTTGAAGTTCTATTACAATAAAACATGATAATGTTTGTTGTGTTTACAAAAGCGAAGCCTTTTAGTTATCTAATAATCTTATATTAATTTAGTTTTCAGCTATGCTAATTCATACAACTTTTATTTATGTAACTATTTACTGAATAATTTTCTTTTGTTTGTAACATATATTAATATAATATTTTAGGTTATTGGCTACGATCCTATTATAACCAAAGAATCTGCTGCAGGGTTTGGGGTGGAATTGCTTAGTCTAGAAGAAATTTGGCCAATTTCCGATTATATCACAGTGCATACACCATTAATACCACAAACTAGAAGTATATTTTTATAATAATCAACAATGTACAGGTCTGTATTCAAACATTCTGCACCCCGAGGCAAACATTCTATACTTTTTCTATATTATTATGTTAATAATCGCAAGACCTTAATTACCGTTTTGAAAAATAAGTTTTGGTGATTACAATAAATTTAGTAAATACTTAACTCTATGCCCTCAAATACAGACTTGATAATAGATAACTTGTTAAAAAGTGTAAATGCTATTAATTTTTTTTCAGATCTGCTAAACGACGATGTATTTATCAAATGTAAAAGAGGAGTAAAGATTATAAATGTTGCCAGAGGAGGAATTGTTGATGAAGCAGCACTGTATAGAGCATTAAATGTAAGATTTAGATTATAAATCTTATACTAATTTTTCTAAATACGTTGTATAATTTTAGAATGGACAGTGCGACGGCGCAGGGTTAGATGTATTAACAGAGGAACCGCCTAAGAGCGCTGAACTCAAAAGCCTAATAGCACATCCTAAAGTTATTGCTACTCCTCATTTAGGTGCTTCTACATTAGAAGCTCAAATAAAAGTAAATATATTTTTTTTATACATTTGTTTGTCAGATCAAATAAATATAAATATAAAGTAATGCCATGACCATGCATAGTCTCAAGATCGTTCTTTAGTGGCGTATTTAGAAATTTATCACGGGAAAGGTCTCAATTACTTTTAGTATGTAATGTAGTGGGAAGTTTCATTTTTTCATTTTCCTCAACTTCCATAATTTTGTTAATGGGGATTGTCCGGACTCTGTTTCTATTGTAATTGCTCACTTTTTCTTTTTCGTATTATAATAATTAAAATATGTTAATGTATCTGTTAGGAAAGAAAAATGACTAAATTTACCAAAATGACCTTAAAATGTTAAGATCAAGGCAGCTGCCTAATTTAGCTGGGGTCAAAAGTAATGTTGTCCTGAGTAAAGTTTTAAAAAAAATAGTCATAATTTTTTGGGAACGAAATTATCATAATGGCTAGAAGAGCCTGGCTGTACTTTGAAAAATATATTGGGTATAATAATTTTTTTAAATGATTAATTTTGGTGAACCAGATCAAACCTAGTGTAAAAATAGACGGCATAATTTAGATTCGGTCTAAAGAATGTGAAGATTCCCGACTTGTGTTACTATTAAACAAAACAAAAAAAGTTTTCCATTTTGATTGTTATCTTAGTTTCCATTTTTATGTATTATTGAGGAAAAAAGGTCATCAACTTAGATGTGGCTTGCGGACCTCTTAAGTCCTCTTCTAAACCCACGCCTAGCGTAATTATACGGATTTTTTCAGTTTCCTAAAATGTTTTATTTAATCTTTTATTGATATAATATGGATGAATTTCGTCAACCAAAAATAATAAAATAGAAGTGTTAAGTGATTATGAGCAAAGCGAGAAGTTTTTTTATCTTATAGAATACAAAAACTCCTTCCTCGAAAAATTGAAGTAACTCTATGGCTAGAGGGTATTTAAATAATATTGTCATGTAGTCACAATTTTTAAATTATGTACAAAGCATTACTCTGTTATGAGTCATTTTAAATGTATAATTGTCGTTTAAGGTCAGAGAGCAAAGGACAATTCATTTTTATTTAACCATAGTGTGTATGAAATAGGCCGCGTTTTTTATTATCATTAAACAGAGATAGTATTAAAGAGTCTTATTTCCATTCGTTAATAAATCTAGCGCCTTTATTTTACTTTACCTAGTTAATTTATTGACTCTATTGATAATTTTACAAAGTATGAATAGCCAACAGATAATCTTGATTTATTCTGAGATTGGTGTTATTTTTATCAACAACTGAATTAATTAAATCTTTGCAATGTCAAAAAGTTTAAAAATCGAGATTTTTTTTATTTCAGATAAAGAATTTATATTAATGAATAAATTTTTAAAAAATTAAGAAAAGTCTTTTTAAATGTGCAAACTTTAGCACTGCTAACGGAAAGTGGATAGTTTGGCGATAGCCTCGTTTTTTTTTTAACATTTTCTGGTTGATTATAAAACATTTTTGTTTGAAATAATTTGAAAATTGTTACAGGATTCACTTCATTCCTCCCTTCCAGTCACTATTTATATAAATATTATTATATAATTGACATTCATTGGAGACTGATTTTTAGTCATAATCCGTCTATAAGCAATATATATTAAGGAAAACTTAAGTCATGTCAAAAAAAATTAATTTTATAATTCACATTTTGTGATTTATTCAGCAATTTTAACAGTCTCATGTAAATGAGTACGTTTGTACCGTCATTGTTTTGGTAAATTTATTCAGGTGATATTTAAAGAAAATAAGCGAAACATTACCTTAGCCTACTGATAGTATTACTTTCTAATAATTTGCTACCTTTCAAATAGCACTAGCGAAAATTAAAACATTTGTTTATAATATATGTTATTTCAGGTTGCTGAAGAAGTAGCTCAACAGTTCGTTGCTTTAAGTAATCCCAACAGCAAGTATTCATTGAACGGACTGGTCAATAAAATTAAGAACGGTGCTTGACGAGATTTTTTTAAGTGTATATATTTTTATACATGTTGTTTTTGTAAAACTTAGTTGATTTATTTAATTATGACCCATAATAGTTGTTTTAATAAACACAATATTTAATATTATAAACGCTTGTATGATAATAAACGGCTCATTTATTAGACTTTATTTTTGTAATCTCAATTATGAACTGCAGTATATTATGATATCGCGTACAGTTTGTGTAAAAACAAACATTGAAAACAATAGTATACACGTAATTACGTGCAATAACATTAGGTAAAAGATAAGTTCCTTCAAACAAGGTACCAACAGTTTTCCTCCTCTTTAAAACACCCACTAGTCAAAACATTTCATACGACTTTTGACGTCTAGTAGTTGGACATATCGTGCGTGCTGGTCAAAAATAATAATTGAAAATGTCAAAAGAAAAAACAAAAGTCGAAGAAGATGGATTCATTCAGAGATTGTGTAAAAAATTCAATATTAATTATAATTTAATTATGTTAAAAGTGACTCTCTTTTTGATGTATGGAGGTGAGCATTGTAGTTAAAGTTGAAAATACTTCATATTTACTCATATACCGTTTTACCTTATTTTGAAATAGCTACTTCATCATTATTACCATACTTGACTATTCATATGCAGAGCATCGGTTTATCTGTAGAAGAAATAGCTATTGTATACCTAGCACTACCTCTAACGACTTTTTTAGCTCCGCCTGTATCAGGTACTAATGTTAAATATTTATAATACAGATCATTATTAATGTCCATTTTAGTATTAATTCATATAATTAATCAATAAAAAACCGAATTTGTGAAAAATAAAAAAATAACTGTCTTAGGATTCCTAGTCGACAAATTTGGTCAATATAAGCCAGTTTTGTTCATATCTTTAGCTTTAAATGCAATTTTTCATCATTCTCTAATATTAATACCTCAAACAGAAACACCTGGAGCAATACCATCAGCATATGTTATGAGACATCCTGAATCTGGTAAAGTCGATGTAAGTGAACATTTTTTATTTTTATGTAAAAAAAATAGAATTTAAGAAAATTTATTATAAATTCTAAGATTGACTATGGAAATTTTAACAATATTATAAAATATAATATAAGGTATAATTTTGTAGATAGAATATATAAATATATAGGGTTTGAATAAAACCGTCATTTTGGAACTAAAAAAAACAAAATTTCAACAATATTTAATAAAAGCTGAATATTTTTAAAAATTAAAAAAACTTTAAATAAATAACCANGCTGAATATTTTTAAAAATTAAAAAAATTTTTAATAAATAACCTTTTAAAGGTTTGGTGGAGCCCATGTCCTAGTCGTGAGTGTCCAGAGGATGAGGAAATTAATTTGGTATTAGACGAATGTGATGACCACTGTTTAATGAGAGACTACAGTATACCACGCGAAGAAAATGATTTAGTACCTAAGATCGAACAAAGTATAGCTGTTAGGCCACCGACATTTATAGCCGGATCTCCACCCCAAGTATACAAACAAAAATATTGTTATAAAATTTACAAGTAAAATAAATCTATGAATTAAATAATTTGTAGCATTGGTACATCATATTAATGTTTAAATTTGTATATTTTTATTTGATTAATAATTCTATCTTTTTTAAGCAATCATTGCCAAATTGCATAATGCCATCTTCAAATCATCCAGGTTCGAGTCATAACCAAGGAGTTGATGAAAAAGACTTATTTTTCATTTATGAGAAAACAAAGCAAGCTAGAAATTTGACAAAATCATCGTGAGAAAATATAATTTATACACTATTATTTATTTAAAAACTTTCAAATAATTTACATTTATAACGTTAAATTTGCGCAGAACAAAAAAATCTGATACCAAGAAAAAAGTAAGAATGGGAGTTCTGCTCAATGGTAATGAAACAGTAAATGAAATAGCAAATATAGGAGCTGGACTTAATAATGTCAATGTGACATCTACTAAAAAAGAAGCTACTGTGTTTGTAGTTTTAGATATGCACCCAGGTCTAATGGATCCAACAGAAACATTAGGTAAGATATTACTTAGATATGTTTATATTACTATTTATAGGGTAGAATTTAGGAATCAGAGTGGCAGCTCTGAGTCAGAACCATTGGACCAATGCATAGTTGGATAATTAAGAGTTACAAACATTTATTCCTATTTCACTAATAAAATTAGCAACCTTTCTTGATTATAATTAACAAATAAAAAGTCATCAAGTTATATTACTCTGATTAGGTATTATTATTTTTATAATATTTATATATATTATATTATAAAGGAATGGAGTTGCCTGAACCAGATCAGGATGAACAAGTCACTGATTTTCGTCAACATTTTTCATCAGATATGTTAATTTCATCAGGAGTTAATTTTACTGCACTTCTTGATCATGATTTGCGTTGTGGAGGAAGAGTATTAGCAACAAATTTGACTTACAACAAACTTAAAGAATTGGCAGCTGATTGTATGCTTCAAAAATGTATATTTAGGTAACTTTATCAAATTCAATGTAGTTTTGAACTTTTATGTTTAAAAATATTTTAACATATATAAATTGTTTCCTTTGATCTTTAGAATAAATTTTGAATGAAATGAAATAATAAAATATTATTATATGGCGACGGACTAACCACCCGTCCCGTAGTATAAATGGTTAAGAAACCTCCTTTGGGGGAGGCCGCTATGGCCTTTAATGGGCTANTATAAAGGTTAAGAAACTTCCTCCTTTGGGGGAGGCCGCTATGGCCTTTAATGGGTTAATAAAAAAAAAAAAAATTATAAGTATTTATTTATACACTTTGATTGGTATCTAATGGTATTTATTTTATTTTATAGAACTGGAGGTCCTGAACGTTGTCCCCCTGAATACAAACCATCAAATGAAAAAGTATTTTGGATATATTTTGGGTTACGATTTATAGGTACTACTATGTTATCAGCATCAGTAACAGTTATGGATCCAATAGCTTTAAATCTTATACAAAGATACGGTGGACAATTTGGAAGGGAAAGATTATTTTCTACAGCTGGTATGGCATTATTTTCTCCATTAACTGGATGGTTAATAGATAAAATGAGTGCAAAAAAAGGTATTTATAATATTAATTAAACTTTATATGATAATGTTTGATTATTAATCAAATCATGTTAAACAAAGCTCATAGTAAATAAAAATAACTTGACTTTTTTTTATAGGTTACACGGACTATTCTTCAGCATTTTACACTTATGATATATTACTTCTATTTTCGATGATAACTCTCTTAATGATGCCAGTTGGTATCAAAATGCCAGCTGATCATATTTTAAAAGATATGATAAGATTATTAAAGTTACCCCATGTAATAGCTTTTTTATTTTTTTTGTTTGTTCTTGGAAATTGTTGGGGTTTTATTGAGTCTTATTTATTTTTATACCTTAAAGAATTAGGTGCATCAAATTATTTGCTAGGCAAGTATTGGTAAAAATAGTAAAAGCTAAAAGAAAATATTAATTAAATTATTTTTAATATTGTTTGAAGGTATTACAGTATCAGTGGCAACAATAAGTAGTGTACCGTTTTTATATGGAGCAGAAAAAATTTCAAAAAAAATTGGCCATGTAAATATTATAGTAATAGCATTCTTTTCTCATGCTGCTAGGTTAATGGGATATTCATATATAGAGTAATAAAGGAATAAAAAATTTATTATAGCAAATCATTTAATTACAATTTTTTCACAGAGATCCTTGGTGGGTTTTCCCATTTGAAGCTATTGAATCCTTAGCAGTTCATTTGATGTGGGTAGCAGCTGCTACATATTGTGCATTACTGGCTCCGAAAAATCTTTTGGCAACACTAATTGGTGTTTCAGGAATGTGCCATTTCAGTCTTGGTACAATATACACTTATTATTTTTACAATTATTGTCATCATAGTAATGCTGAAATATAGAATAACGTCATTTAGGTCGTGGAAGTGGAAGTTTCATAGGAGGCCTATTAATAGGTTCATTTGGAACTAGACAATCGTTTAGACTAATGGGACTTTTGGGAGTTGTTAGTGGAATAATTTATGGATTAATGCATTGCATGTGGTTACATAAATTTGAAGACCAAACTAAGCCTGAAAAATCTGGTAAATAGATCATTATATAATAAGATTTGTTTACTTGTAGTTAATATTTAAAATTAAAAAAATATAAAAAATTACTGTAAAATCGCTAATATGTATTTTGAAAACAATGTTACCATCATTATAGATATCAATTTATAAAAATTTTATTAAAATTTGTTTTGTTTCTCTAAATATTAATCAAAAATAAAATTGTCTGGTAGTTAAGCTAGCCCAAAAAATTAAAAATAAATGAAAATTTTGATAATAAATTAAAACATTTTTATTTTTAAACATCTATTTTTTATGTTTCATAACATTTAATTATTAAAAAATATATTTAATTTGAAAAATAAATATAGATCCTTCTGAAGTGGAATCTTTAAAAGAAGTAGAAGAAAATAATAAAGATGATATCTCAGATATTGAAGCAGAAGCAAGGCGCTTAAGTTTAATGATTAAGTTTAATCATAGGGGGTCATTAGCATCATTAGATAAAGAGCAACTACTGCCAGCCAAATCACAGAACGATATTAGGAGTACAATGTTGCAACCACCGAAGGTAGATTTACTTAAATCTACTTTGGAACTTAATTATTTATACAAAAAGTCACAAAACAAACCTATTTTAAAAAGAGAAGAAAATTCTATATTAACACCAAAAGGAAACAGAAAATCTATGACTATTCAAACAAATGAAGAGGATACTACATGTATAGAAGACAAACAGGAATAATAAAAAAGAATATTTAAAATAATAATGAAAATTATTTATAACAAAAATAAATGTTGCACTTACACTACATTTTAGTGAATTTAATATCATTTTATTGTTTGTACTTTTTTTCATGTTTATTATAATTTTTTTTGTGTTTGTCATAATAACAGTCATCGCTTGAATAACTTTTATCACGTTTTGTTGATTTGTAATGACGATTACTATTCATTGATCTATCTTTACTATGATGTCTATTATAAGATTCTTTCTTGTAATATTTGTCACTACTTTTACTGCGTCTTATTCTTTTTTTATTATCATCNTACTGCGTCTTATTCTTTTTTTATTTTCATTCCGATCATTTGATCTATGACGTTTTTCTTCATATTTGTCTTTATGATGTTTATTATATTTTTTTTTTCCTGGTGATTGATTCCTTTCATTAGATCTACTTTTTCTAACATTTTTTTTATTGTAATCTTTAGATTTTTTTTGTTTTTTAACACTTTTATCTTCTGAACTACTAATGATTTTTGGAGAACATAATTCATGCTTAATTTCAGGAGTGTGTATTTCTCTTTTGATTTCAGAATTGTCTATCTCTCTCTTAATTTCAGGAGTACCATACTCCCGTTTTATTTCAGGTGTAAGTATTTCTCGTTTAATTTCTGGTGTATCACTTTCTTTTTTAATTACAATTTTTTCATCATAATCTTGAACATTTCAAAAAAAAAATTAATAAGATGATTATTTTATTAAATTAATTAATTTTTTTAATATAAAAAAAATATTTTTGAAACTTTTAGTATCAGAAGTGGCCAACATTTTTTTGATCAAAAGAAATATTACTAAAGGACTAATTTAATTATATTCATATGTACTGTAAGGAGACCAGTAATTAATTAAATTATTAATTGAATGTTACAGTAATAGTTCATTTCTGTACATTTTTAAGAGAAAAAATAATGTTATAAATTCCTATTTCTTTAATGGTAAAACAAAAATATATACTTAAATATTAGATAAAAAAAAATATTTTTCAATATATTATTTATTTAATTAATACTACTGCTAGTAGTCTATAAAATAAAACTATACAATAAAAATTGAAAAAAAGAAAGATAGAATATTACTTTTTTTTCTGGTACCCTTCAGTAATTTAATTATATTAATAATTAGTATAATTAGTTTTGACAATAATGGCATAAGTTATATATGGAAAAACTTTCTTTTGATTAAATTATTATTTTTTCAAATAAAAATCTTAATTTAAAATCTGATGAATATTATTAAAATAAAGTATATTACTGTTTAATTTAATTTATAAATTGAAAGAATTTTTTTGAAGGTATTTTCAAATTGTTTTGTTAAATCTATATTACCTGTTTTTTCTACTTTGACTTTAGCAGTAGATTCTATGTTTTTAGGTGGTTTATAATCTTTCACATGGTCCACACGGAGTATTCTTCCCAGAATTCTAGTACCATTAAAATTATCAACTGCCAAAATAGTACTTCTTTGGTCTTCATAACAAATAAAACAAAAGCCCTTTTGTTTTCCTGTATCTTTGTCTCTAACTAAATTGAGATTTACAATTTCTCCATACCTAAAAGTAATATTTAAAAATTAGCTTATGTCATTTTAAAAATTTTCTAATATTTATTTAGAATTCATACAACAAATTTGAAGTCTCTCTGTAAGAACTATTAGGAGAAAAAAAATGATAAAAATAAGGAAAACATTTATTAATACTATTACTAAATATACAACTAAATGATATTAATAATACTAATCTTTTTATGTTGAATATTAATTTTATTAAAAAATAATAGTTGTTTATTTTAAAAATTATTAGTAGAATCAAATGTTTTGAATTAAAAAGTATATACTTAATATATTCTAGGCAAATTTTAGATTTAAAGAAATCTGATAGAATTATTATTATATTTAATATAATGAAATATAATTCTTTTGTAATGTCTAAGTTTAATAATCCTTAAACTTAATTATGATACTTCAGGTAATATTTATCAAAACAAAAATTACTGTGAAAAAATTGCCATAATATCGCCTTCAGAAAGGTCGTAAGGTAAACCACCAACAAAAATCCAAGCACTAGATTTATACTCATCATGCCAGGAACTCTTAGGCATACGTTCCAACTCTTGTTCACTCAACTTTTTAACATTTCTCATATTTCTGCAAAAAAAAAAATTGTATAGTTCAATTAAACAATAGATTTTTCAGAATAAATTTAATTTATTGGGTAAGCTATTTTTTTGTTAAGTTTTTAATGCTGATTCAGAATATAATAGTTAACAATATTCATTGGTCAGACACAGATAATAGTGTTTATGTATAACATTTTATGATATTATAATTATATTTAAGAGGTGACGACTTTGGTCACGCAACAGATTATGGAGTTGCCACCCTTATGGCTACCTTGTAATAAAGAATGTCAGGTCGTCGACCACTTATGCAAAGAACTTAAGTTTTAAGTTGGTTTTCTGATTACACAGTCGGATACAACATATGTGCACTCATTAACAAAGCAAAACATTAAATTTATCTATACCATAAAAAATATTAATAATAGATATAAAGGTTAAAATTTTATCATGTTTCACACTACTAAAAAATAGTTTAATAATATATTGGATTTTTATTTTTGTAAGTATTAACTAAGATTTTTAACCCTTTTTTTGTTCAAAATTTTAATTTTTAGTTTATACTAAAATTTTTTTAAATATTCTAGTTTAGTTTATATAGAGATTGGCAAGAACTTCCCTGCATTCAGCCCAATAGGTCCATTGTGTGTATCTACTACAGAATTAAATTAATTCGGTTTCTTCACATAAGTGTACACACCAAAGTGTTACTAATATTGTTCACATATTCTAAATCAGCATAATAAAATAAATTTTAAAAGAAATCAAAAAATTATACTTACGTTAAAGGATTCATTTTGATAGATCGCTTAGGTTGATAAAATGATAAATATATTAATAACACTCCAATTTTGAGACGGCTTGTACTCAACTTCATTAATGCTGGAAATTATTCCTTAAGTATCTATAGAAATAATATTTTATGAATTTTTAAATGGTTAACTTTAGATGAGCGTTTTATTTATGCAGTGAATAAAAAACAAAATAATATTTCGTCTTGAATTATTTTCAGTTTATTCAGTTATTATAATTTCTTTATTAATAACTATAATTATTTATTTTTATAAATAATAACCAATAAAGAAATAATAATAGATTTATTGATGTTTAAACTAATTGAGATGTATTATCATATTTAATAGTATATTTTTATAATAATAGAAAAATTTGAAAAATAAATAAAATGAGATATTATCAAATATTATTTTCCTATCAAATTGTGTGATAAAAATGCTAACCTTATTAAATTATATCAATATTAAAACTAATACTCAAAATTGAAATAGATACTTTGGTAGTCTATAATTGTGTTGATTAATTTTTTTTTTTAAATATTTTTCTTTATAAGAATATTTTGTGACAAACTTAGTTTAATTTATTATTTTATGTCAATCAGTTGCAGTTATCAGGCGCGCGAACGAATTGGGAATATATGATTCGTATAGCCCTCCGTAGCTATTATTCTAACTGATAAGTTGTATGATATCCTGTCTCACTCTCACTTATAAGTTATAGAGCCTAAGTTTTTATTTTATCAGTCGTCCGATAGGCGTTTTGTTTATTAATTTTCGTAGTTGCGGCTAACAGAAAAAACCTGTGATTAGAATTAAATTACGAATGTTAAAAATTCAAAATTTCGGCAACGGCAAACATTAAATTTTGCTGATTTGGTGTTTCTTAATAAATAATTTTTTGTATTGCTTGTTGAACATTTCAGGAGTAAATGGCTTCGTTTAACCCGACAACAGCCATAGATGATAGCAAACCTAATGGCAAAAGAAAATGGAATGAAACGCACACAGATATTGACAATGCTAAAGAAGATGAAGACGATACTAATAATTCAGGTAATTATTAAATGCTTTTACCAACATTAAAAAAAAATTTTTTTGTATGATCATATTTGGCTAACTTATTATTTATACATAACTAAATTTAGTCTTAACGCATGATTGTCTGATGGTTTGTGTTTAAGTCTGTAATAAATTGTAATTGAAGTAAGATTTTTAGCTATTAATTAGGGCTTGATATTTTTATGAATTATATTTATATAATTCACTGTCCTAGATTTTAATGATTTTATGTTGTTGATGTGTTTCAATTGTTCTTCTCTCATTTGTCATGGAAAAGTATGATTTTTTAAAGTATTTGTTACAGTGAAAGATTACTTGCTATATGATATTGATTTCTTTGAACTTATTATATTAAACTTGAATTTTTAAGTAAATTTTTTAATAGTTATGATATTACAAAACTTAATTAATTATAAAAAATGAGAAATATTCTGTTACTTATTCAAAAAAAAAAAAATAAAAGTTAGTATTATTAAACAATCAGGGTCAATGTGGCCATGTTGGTAATGCAGCAGTGCTTGACGCGCACTGTCTCTAGTTTGAAACTCGGTCAAGGACTGCTTTATTTGCCGAACGAGAGATCAGTTTGGTAATTGGAGTCATCATCCCTCTTTCCAGCTTCGGATTAACTACCTGTCCTGGAGTATCAATGGTTTAGAAACCTCCTCCATTGGGGGGACCGTTATGGTCATTAATGGGCTTATAAAGCGTTAAAAAAAAATTATCAAACAAGTTCCATTTAATTTGTTATAAATATATTTGTATTTTAATTTGTAATAATTAAATTATTTTACAATATATCACAAAGTTATTGAATTATGAATAAAAATAATTTTTAATTATGTTTTCTAACAATATAAATGTATTGCTATGTAAAAATGTACATAATTTAATTATTTAATTTATATACTACTTTATTGAAATTTATACATTTGTTATTTGTCTGTGAAATATAAGTGTAGAAATTACGATAATTAATCATTTACACTTCTTCTAATCATTGTTACATACATAATATTTGTTGACTTAAAAATATTATGAAAAATTTTTGTTGAAAATGTTATTAAAAGTAGACCAAAAATATCAATAAGCAAGATATTATTTATTTTATTTGTATATTGCTATCTTGTTTAGTGTAAGATATTATCATGAAACTTAAATTTTCTTGATTAAATAAAAAACATATTTTTATTTAAATTTCTAGTTTATAATTAGTTTTAATTTTTGAAAAAATAAGTTTCATTAAAAATTAATAAATCTAAACTATTTATGCTAACAACATTGTGGTTGAAGCCTTTAAGTTATAAAAATTAATAATTTAATTAATTAATATATTAAACATTTTAATTTTGAAAATGTCAATTTTAAAAATTTAGATGGATAAAAATTATTGATAAGAATTTTAAAATAACAAATTTTTTTTAGTATTGCGTTTATTTAATAAATTGAATACTATAATTGTATGTTATAACGTATAATCTTAATTTGGGAATCACTAAGTGTGATTAATTATCATTTTATTTACTATATTCAAGCTGTTTATTTGTATGCCATCTTAATTATTTTTGACGTGATATTAATAGATGATGCATGCTCTCTGCTGTTGAAGCATATGGTTGTTTTTGATTTTTAATTATGAGACACATATGCATAGTGCTTTCTGCTTTGTGTGGTTCATCATATTTATTTGTTCATGTAATAATTTGTCATTATAATTATATACTTTGTACTAACTTACCTAACCTATTGTCTTATTATCCTTACTACTATTTTTATTTTCTATTTTTGGAATTTTAAACATAATTAAAGTGTATTAATTTTATTAAATGTACATTAACTAGATTGATACCAATATGTTGTTTTCAATATTTTTATTGCAAAAAAAGTGAGTTGACATTATAATAGTTATGCCTTAATAGTCACATTTTAAGAATTTTTTATAATATTTTATTTAATTTTTACTTTGAAATTATTTTTTTATTAATTAATGAGATTTAATTTATAATACCTAATTCAGTATTTATAATTTAATAAAAAGTGTAGTGTAAAGATTATACTTTTACTATCATAAAAATAGTTTTTTATTTAATATATAATATTAAATCCATGTAGCTGTTATTATCATCATTGCACTGTTTTGTCAATCTAATTACAAAATCACATAGAGTACAATTTTAATATAAATTATGCTGATACTTCTACTAATAGTTGTTTTTTTAAATATCTAATGAGACAATAAATATTGTTTACCATTGGCTTAATTCTCCTTGTTTTTTAACAAAAAAAAGATGTAGTTTTACTTGTTTTTTTTTTATTCAATTTAACTTTTGTAAATTAAAATTTAATGACGTTCAAGGTCTGATAAGTGTATAGTCTAGTTAGTTACTTAAAAAATANTCAAAGTCTGATAAGTGTATAGTCTAGTTTAAATTAGTTACTTAAAAAATGTATTCATAGGTTTTGCTTATATTATTGTAAATATATGCTTCTTTTAGTTGCTTTTTACATCCTATTAGACTGTAAAAATGATTGAATTTTAATCAAATAATTTAAGTTTACTACTCGGCGATTAACACTAGTTTTGGTGGTCCTATATAGAGATGGAGCAAGGGTATCAAGAACTTTGCAAAACGCAACCAACTATTCTAGTTGAACATTTCGAACCAATGAAACCACTTGAAGAAGACGAACTAATGGAAGCATCATTAACAACAGATCGAAAACAAGTAATAGTTGGTATTTGTGCAATGAAAAAAAAAAGTTTTTCAAAACCAATGAAAGAAATTCTCAACAGACTTGCTGAATTCGAGTACCTCAAAATGATTGTATTTGAAGAAGAGCTACTTTTAAAACCTATCGAAGAATGGCCTATTTGTGATTGTCTTATTTCTTTCCATTCTAAAGGTTTTCCATTAGAAAAAGCTATTAGGTATGCTGAGCTGAGAAATCCTCTAGTTATTAATCATCTACCTACTCAATTTGCTTTACAAGATAGAAGACAAGTTTATTCAATTTTGGAGTCTGAAGGAATTTTAATTCCTAGATATGCTGTTTTAGATAGAGAATCACAGGATCCTAATTTGCATGAGCTCATTGAATCAGAAGATCATGTTGAAATAAATGGAGTAGTGTTTAACAAACCATTTGTCGAAAAACCAGTATCAGCTGAGGATCATAATATTTATATTTACTATCCCACTTCAGCAGGAGGAGGTAGTCAACGATTATTTCGAAAAATAGGCAGTCGTAGTAGTGTGTATTCACCTGAATCTAGAGTTCGAAAGACCGGTTCCTTTATTTATGAAGATTTTATGCCAACTGATGGTACTGATGTTAAAGTTTATACAGTAGGGCCTGATTATGCACATGCAGAAGCTCGAAAGTCGCCAGCTTTAGATGGTAAAGTTGAAAGAGACGCTGAAGGTAAAGAAATTAGGTATCCTATTATTCTTAGCAATTCAGAAAAAATGATATCTCGTAAAGTATGTCTTGCATTTAAGCAAACAGTTTGTGGTTTTGATTTACTGCGAGCAAATGGAAAGTCATTCGTTTGTGATGTTAATGGTTTCAGTTTTGTAAAGAATTCAAATAAATACTATGACGATTGTGCTAAAATATTAGGCAATATGATTCTAAGAGAACTTGCACCAACTCTTCACATTCCATGGTCAGTTCCTTTCCAGTTAGATGATCCACCCATAGTGCCAACAACTGTAGGTAAGATGATGGAGCTCCGATGTGTAGTAGCTGTAATCAGACACGGCGATCGAACGCCCAAACAGAAAATGAAGGTTGAAGTAAGACATTCCAAGTTTTTTGACGTTTTTGAAAGGTATGGAGGTAAAACTAAGGGAGAAGTTAAACTCAAACATCCTAAACAATTACAAGAAGTATTAGACATTGCTAGAGCATTATTAGAAGAGATAGAACAAAACGCAGCCAATCAAGAATTAGAAGAAAAAAAAAGAAAATTAGAACAATTAAAAAGCGTTTTAGAAATGTATGGTCACTTTTCTGGAATTAATCGAAAAGTACAAATGAAATATCAACCGCACGGACGACCCAGAAAAGAACAGTCTGTAGATTTCAAACAAGATCCCTCTTTAGTATTAATACTGAAATGGGGAGGTGAATTAACTCCAGCTGGACGCGTGCAAGCTGAAAAGCTTGGTCAGATTTTTAGATGCATGTATCCTGGAGGGCAGGGTAGAAATTCTGACACTCAGGGGCTAGGTTTGTTAAGATTACATTCAACGTTTAGACACGATTTAAAAATATATGCCAGCGATGAAGGTAGAGTACAAATGACAGCAGCGGCGTTTGCAAAAGGGCTACTAGCACTTGAAGGTGAATTAACACCTATTTTAGTTCAGATGGTTAAGAGCGCTAATACTAATGGATTGCTTGACAACGATCACGATTCCAGTGAGCAACAAAATATGACAAAAGAACAGCTTCATCGTTTGATGCAAAATGACCGTGAATTTACTGCGGAAGATCGTTCCATGATAAATCCGTGTCATGCTATTAGTATCGATGAAGCAATAGACTACGTAAAAAATCCTGTACAATGCTGTGAAATTGTACAAGAGCTGATTCAAAAGCTGGTAGCTGTAGTAGAATCTAAAAAGGACGATCCTAAGAAAGCAGACACAGTATTATACCATGGTGAGACATGGGAACTTATGGGCCAACGGTGGTCAAAAATCGAAAAAGATTTTTACACGAAAAACAAAAAATTTGATATTTCAAAAATACCAGATATATATGATTGCATCAAATATGACTTGCAACACAATCAGAGAACGTTACAATTTGAAGAAGCTGAGGAATTATATACTTATGCTAAATATCTGGCCGATATTGTTATTCCTCAGGAGTATGGTCTTGATGTCACTGAAAAAGTGACCATTAGTCAGGGAATATGTACACCGTTGTTACGCAAACTTAAATCAGATTTACAACGCAATGTCGAGGAACCATGTGAAGAGGCCGAAGATGACGAAACTGTCAACCGATTGAATCCTACATACTCGTACGGAGTTCTAAGTCCCAGACGGCACGTTAGATCTCGGCTATACTTCACCAGTGAAAGTCATATTCACTCACTTCTGTCAATACTTCGATTTGGCGGCCTCCTCGACGTCAATAACGATGAACAATGGCGCCGTGCCATGGAATACGTTAGTATCGTATCAGAACTTAATTATATGACTCAGATTGTAATTATGTTGTATGAAGATCCTACTAAAGACGTAACGTCCGAAGAACGATTTCACGTTGAATTGCATTTCAGTCCAGGTGTAAATTGCTGTGTACGCAAAAATCTACCACCTGGACCTGGATTTCGACCTCAAACAGGTGGTAATTTCAAAGCAAAACAAAAAGATTACGAAGAAGATGATTCTCTAGACGAAGATGAGGGTCATAGTAGGTTTTCAGTGACTGAACCGCAAAATGAAGAAGAAGATCATAGTCGGTTTTCTATTACTGAAGATGAAAATAAAAAAGATACTCCAGAACAGCAAATATTTTCGGAAGATGACACATGTGACGGACCCCCAAAGTTTAAATTTTGTCAGCCACAAAATGCCACTGCAAAACGACATAGTTACTTCTCGCACCTTTTTTCTGCTTCACCGCCAACTAGTAGCTTATTCAGTACAGCCGTTATTAGTGGCTCGTCTAGTACCTCAGACTTGCATGATCTAATGACTGGGCCGTCCAGTTACGCTGGTTCTATTATTGGCTGTGATGGTGTACCACCAATTAGACCTTTAGAAACATTACATAATTCGCTGTCACTTAATCAAGTAATCACTTTCTTTGATAATGTGATCAATCAACAAACAGACCCTTCGGGCCAGCCCCCAGACGACCAATCACTCCTCGATTGATTAAGGGCTCATTCTCTTTTTTAAGAGAATGAAAGAGAGTTAATTTGGAAAAGTGTTTATTTAAAGTATATTTTGGATATAAGAAATATATTGTGTTATTACCATTAGTGATAAATCATTTTATGCATATTAAGTTAAAAATTTTAATTATATTCATATTTATTATTATTGTGTATCCAACTCGTTGTCATGTATTATTATTTTTGAAAACTGTATTTTATGTAATTTTGAATTATAGTTGTCGTTGCTGCCATAAAGACTATATTGTTGCAGAAAAAAATTTTAATTTTTACCGTTCATTAGTTAGGTATACTAGCGTGTATAAATTATGTATGTAAATAATATATTTTATGCTGTTAAAATTTGTGTACAACTATTTTATGTCTTTGGACCAAACAATACAAATAAATGAATTTTATTGATGATAAAACATTGTTTGTTTTTACTGTAGTTGTCCACGAGTATAACTAATCAATTTAATTGTTTGTAAAAAGGCGAACAAATACAAAGCGATCTGAAATATTAGTACAGTATTTAGTTAGTACAAGGTCGTAAAAGAGATTTGATGTGCATTTTATTTTTTGCTTGACAATCTGCTCTTTTTGATATTTTAATTACCTATATTTATTTTACCAATTGCTTTTTGTACATTTGTATGTAATAAAATTTATAATCGTTTTTTATTTTGATACTGTTATTTAGTAGTTTGTTAACTCAAAATTCAAACTTTATAATTTCACGAAGAGATTAATTTTATAAATTTGAGTTTGTATATTAAGGAATTAATTTTTTCATGATAAAATTTCATATATTTGAATGATTTATTTGTTGACGTGGTGGTTAATTGTTCACTATTAAGTAATACAAAAAAAGTTATAATCAGTAATCCAATAACATAATTAATCAAATAAATTTTAATTGATTTCGTTAATGTTATAGACATGTAAAAATGTTTTGGTATAATATTAAACCAATTAATCAAATTTCAATAACAGTCATTGAAATTTGATAGTTACTGTCAATATAATTTAAAGAAGTATAAAAATTTGCATAGCATCAAATAATTTGTATGGTATATTTTATTTGGAAACGAATTACTTATGAAATTTGTATCTATAACAAAAAGTCAGAAAATGCATAAAAATACACAGAGAATATCGGCAAATTAAATGCTGATATTTGCTTACTCGTAAGAATCACCATTTTTGTAATGTAATTGTTAGTAAACATGTTCAATCAAGCACGTATTCAGGATCAATTTTCGAGCCGGGTTTGTAATATTTGTTATAATAATTTATATACCTACTTAAAAATTTCAAAGGAAAGGGCTGAACTCCTAAACCATCTTAAATTTTGTTAATTAAAAATCATTATGAGTAATTGATAGGTTATTATATAAGTTTAAATATTAAGTTACTTATTATTACACAATTTTTTATAGTAAAGATTAATATTGTTTTATATAGTTGTAATAAAATAACTAATAGATTTTTGTAGTTTTTAATAAAAAAATGCAGGATATTATTTTTAGGTTGATCCATATAATCACATTATACATAGTGTTCATTAAGTAAATAAATAGGTTTGTTGTTATAAAAAATGAGAACAATGGAAACTTTTTCTTACTCTCTGAATTTCTTAAACTTAATAATTAGGCTAACTAATTAGAGTATTTTAATATATTGGTTCAATTGTATCAATGTTAAAAAAATTAGTTTTTAATATTTGTTGTTTATACTGACTTATATAATTTTATATACATTGGTGTATAACTTTTAATAATATTTAAAAAAATACTTATAATTTACAAATATATTTGAAACAAAAAAGACCATAATCTTATCTCATAAAATATTTAATTATTTTTCCTCTAAAAAATTTAAGAAATTAATAAAAATTAAAATCTATTTATAATTTTTTTTATCCTCAGTAAAGATGCAATTGTTGAAAATTTACTATTAAATTTTTTCCCTAGTTTTAAAACTTAAATTATTCATTATCTCTTTTTTTATTATTATGTCACATGCAGCTTATCATAATTAAATATACAGAGTATGGAAAATAAAGTAAAATCTACATTAGCTAACATTATTTTAATTCTAAACTTAAACACACGACCTATGTAGTATAAATCAAAATATAAATATTGTTAAAATATTATTGAAAATTCTTAAATGTATTTGATTATTTGGAAAACTTGTTGAATACCAAAACCTAATTTAAGTTTAATTTGTTATTTGGAAACAGATATATCTTTTATTGCAATAAATTGTAAAGTACATAATAACATTTTTTTTTTTTTTGAAGGAAAATGGACAAAAAAAGTAAATCGTTTATGCCCATACTTGGACACCATCAATCGCCAATTACTGGATTTTGATTTTGAAAAACTATGCTCAGTGTCACTATCTCGTATCAATGTCTATGCTTGCTTAGTATGCGGTAAATATTTTCAAGGTAATAACAATATACTTGCTATAATTACTTAAAATTTAAATACCACCAACTAACATATAAAAAAGATAAAGATAATCACATCATTTAAATAGTTTTCAAATATTACTAATTAGTCTGTTAAAACTTTACAGGTCGTGGTACCAATACACATGCTTATACTCATAGTGTAGCTGAAAGTCATCATGTGTTTTTAAATTTACAAACTTTGAAGTTCTACTGTTTACCAGATAACTATGAAATAGTTGGTCAGTTTAAAAATATTTTTCCACTTATATTCTTATTCAGAAGTTGGTTTAAATAGTCGTTCTATTATAAAAAAATTAAGTAGGCAAAAATAAAAAAAATGTTCTGTAAAAGTTCTTGAAACTAAGCACTTCAAGCTCTTTGTAATTTGCAGGAATAGCATTAATAGATATTAATTATAAAATAATATAGTACATTTTTATTATTATTATTATTATTAAAGAAATATAATTTATTATAAAAATTATTAAAAAAAAAAAAATTTACATATTATAAAACATTGCCTATTAGAAAAAGTTTGAGTTAAAAGTCTTTTTTGTTTATTGTTTTAATGTTACTACATTATTACATTTAACATTAAAGGGGTTCAAATAATAATTCATCTTCATAAACAGTTTTTAATATGAGAAAATAACTACTTTTTTCTTATGTGAATTATTTTCTTTTACTATAAAATTTGAAATAATTTTATTTTTATTTTAATAAAATAAAATTTTAATATTGTTTTACATTATAAATTATATTACATTTAACAATATTTTACATCTGATATTTTTGGTTTTTATTCATTGATTACATTTTGGAAAAATAATTTATTTTAATATTAATTTTAGTGTTATTCATAATGTTTTATTGTCCTGCTTATTTGACTTATTTTCATATAAAACCTTAAATTATTGCAATAATTTCACATAATTATGTCTATCTATTAATTATGACTAACCATTTTATCTAAAATATTCATCAAAAAAAATTTAATATTAAAATTAAATTTTCAAAAACTGGCTATTTAGTTTGGATATTATTCTACAATAAGATTTTTTACGCTTATAATTAATATTAAATTGATAAGTTTAATAAAACTTCTTTTTTATTTTTTAGATTCTTCTCTTGATGATATCAAATATGTTTTGAATCCAACTTTTACTTCTCGACATATCTCAGAATTGGATAAAAGTAATAAATTATCACGAGCTATAGATGGAACTTTGTATTTACCTGGAATTGTTGGATTAAATAATATTAAGGCAAATGATTATTGTAATGTCATTTTACAAGCATTATCAAATGTGACTCCTTTGAGAGATTATTTCTTGGATGAAAAAAATTATGCTAAAATAAAAAGACCTCCTGGTGACAATATATTCTTATTAGTCCAAAGATTTGGTGAATTGATGAGAAAATTATGGAATCCTAGAAATTTTAAAGCTCATGTTTCCCCTCATGAAATGTTACAAGCAGTAGTACTGTGGAGTGGAAAAAAATTTCAATTTACTGAACAAGGTGATTGTTTTCTTACACATTATATCAATTATTTTAGGGAGTGTACCTTTGACGAAAATGGTGAGGTTTAGTGGCCTCTCATCCAAAAAAAATTTCATTAACGCAGTTATACGTTAAAAATGATTTTAAAATATTTCTTTGATATAGTTTCCAAAAATTTTAAATTTATAAAATTTTTAATAATATAATATAGAGTTATCTTAGTCTACAACTTTTGATAAAATTATCATTTTGTTGAAATTTTTTTTTTCAACAATCTTGCCTTCTTAAACTATGTTTAAAGCATATTCTTTATTATTGAATTATAATAAAAAAAAAAAGAGTTAAAACAAATTTTTTAGATAGCCTTTTATTTTCTGACAAATATTAAGATGCATTGATAACAATTTTAGGATAAGTACTCATTGTGTTACTAGCATTTTAATATATAGAATTACTATGGAGCGTGTAAGAATAGATGTATGAATGTACATACATCAATACGAGCTTCACCCACTCTATGTATTAAAATGCTTGTAAATCAAAAAGTATTTGTTTTAAAATTGTAATCAACATTGATATTCTTAATCATTTATGTAAAAAGCAAAGAATACACTAGTGGTGGGATGAAGCCCATCACGCTATATTTCTATGAACAAATATTAGGTTCTCAAATAATTTGCCTCATTTTCACCTATGGAGTTTACTGATTTTTAAATTTATTATTTTAAATTATATATTTATTGATTTAGTAACTATGTTAATATCCAATTTTTCAATTATAGTTGCTTTACTACATTGCTTTGCTTTCTCTATTACCTCCAAAAGTACAGCTTATTTGTGAGGGCTACCTCACTAATAAGCAAATACCACAATGGGAGCTTGTGCACTTTTAATTTTCATACTAACTGTTCCAATGGTTGGTTAAACTATTAGGATTTAGTTATTTACAACTAATTGAAATTAAAATATTTTACAATTCTTTATTTCAGGGGATCCAATTGATTTTTTGTCATGGTTTTTAAATTCACTGCATAGAGCTCTTAATGGTAAAA